GTGAAAAAGCACAGAACAGCCTTGCAAAACAGAGCAAAGACAACATTAGTGTTTCTGATAACAGCTGCGCAATCGACGATACTTTCCACCTCAGAGATTGTAAGAAGATAACTGTCTATATATACCACTGTCACGTGGAAAGACTTACACTGGCTAGAGTGATAGATGCGTAAACGTTCGCTTTAGGGAACACGAACGTTCCCTGTCGGAGACAGAGCAATTGCGTCAGACAAAAAGCCATTCCCTCTCGCCGCGCATTGTTAAGAATGCGGCTGCGCACATTTGTTTAGCGACATCATGATGCTGCCATACCATACAAAGCAGTTAGCAAGAGAAGTAATTAAGGCATTTCATCTTCAAAGGAAAGGCGACAAGTGTGTCAGCCTTTCGTCTATCTCACTAGGTGCCACGAAATTTTCGAACCTATAGTAAACACATACAAAATGTGTTACGCGAGTTTATCTGTATCACTTTGCCCAGGGCCCTTTTGCTGCAATATGCTTCGTCAACATATGTACCTGTTTTTCCAGGTGAAGTTTAGTTGCGAGTTAGCACCTGTTTCGTCCTCCTCTTTCTTCGTCCTCGTCCCGTGCTCGCTGTTTCAAGCAAAGATGGGAATTCACGCCATGATCGAAAAAAAAAGTAATCTTATGCCAATGAAATCATGCGTCTACTCACTCAGGCTCACCGAGAATAATGTTAAGCTGTGGGCCCGAGTTCCGTGAGAAAAAGTTCAGCGAGTCGAAGTCCAGCTGAATACGCTTGAGCAAACATTTGGTGAGTTCCAGTCCCAGTGAGCACTCAGAAGAAAAAAAACACACACATGCACAGAGTGAAGAATGGCGAGTGGGGTGAAGCGTCCGTTCATGCGTCTGTCCGCTCGTCCGTCTGTCCATTTATGCGTCCATCCGTGCTTCCGTCCTGGCGTCCGTCCAGTCCATTCATGTGTCCATCCATGCGTCCGTCCATGCGTCTGTCCATTTGTTCTTCCGTCCGTCTGTCTGTCCATTCATGCGTCCGTCCATCCATCAAGTGAACTCTCGAAGTACCGCCATCTCGCATCTTTTCATGATATATTCATGAATATTCATGATATACAAGAACCGCCATCCAGCGTACTACATAAGTACTAAACGAGAGGTGGCTACTACGACCACACGGGACGTACGACCCATGGCGTAAGCAGCTTCGCCCCTAAGCCATGTTTCTTGAGTGAATCGGAGTGAGCTGCAATTTCTTTTGTCGACCTGTGGAGAAAATATACAATGAAAAGTTTTTGAAAGAATCAGAAATCAAAGGTGGTGGCACTAGCGGCATTTTGTATTGCCGTGTCGCTGGCTTTCCAAAAGCTCGTGATGCGGTCATGCTTTTCGAGGAGCTGGTGGAGCGCTTCGTTAGTTCTTGCTGATACTTAGTGCTACTGTACCACGAAACTGTGATTTATAGTTTACCTCGTGCGAGAAATTTTCGCACTGAGAAACAAGTTTAAGAAACACCTTTCACTTAGACATATGCTAATGTTCGGAAATTTTCAACAATGTAAGTGCATGCATTTTCTGCGAAGTGCTTCCTTTCATACATTTTTTTTTTGCAAGAAAGAGAGAATCTGTTTACACAAAAGCAAACAGGTCGGCCTTAGCTATAGTTTCCTCTGGGCTGCTATTCCACACTGAGGAAGGGGGACGGCAGCGTGAAACAGTGATGAGTTGCAATGTTAAACTAGCAGTTAAGAATATAGCCCTGTTACGCTGGGGCAGATCATAAGACCTGTACCCCGTACAGTGGCTTGTAAGAAGGCTACAATAGTTTCTATAGCCGTATTTGTTCGCAACATACATTGCTTTAGTCGTAAAATTGAATGTTTGGACGTTTTTTGTTGTCTTTTTGATTCTTTTGAAAAATCAATAATCGTATTCTGGCATCACAGCAAAATCTTATGACATTGTTCTTAAGAACAATAATGCCTAAATACTAATAAAACTGATTATATGTGGGGTTTAACGTCCCAAAATCACCATATGATTATGAGAGACGCCGTAGTGGAGGGCTCTGAAATTTCGACCACCTGGGGTTCTTTATTGTGCACCCAAATCTGAGCACACGGGCCTACAGCATTTCCGCCTCCATCGAAAATGCAACCGCTGCCGCCGGAATTTGATCCCGCGACCTGGGGATGGTAAGAAAAACTGTCAGTGGTCTTACAATAAATGCCAAATTGTGTTTAAGTGTTTCCTACAGTACATATTGCTTCCTCTGAATGGAAAGTTTATGATCAATTACAAAATGATGTAGCAAAAATGTTTTCAGTATATCATAGAACGGCAACAGCGAAGCACCATGACAAAAGTATGATGCATAGGAGTAAATAGTACGTTTACACAATGATGAGCCCTGTACACACAATACATATTGTCACGTGACCACAGAACGACCACAACGTCTGTTCACAGGAGCAGCACTGGACGTCGAGCCGAACCGAACGTTAGAGCACGAGCACACCAACCATCCCCTTCTTCTTTCACACCATGGCCCATACTCGCATTGGCATGGCTAAACTTCGTTCCATGCCTGTGGCATCACCCCCCCCCCCCCTTCGAAAAAAAAAGTACCACACCGATGACCAATGCCAATTAAAAGTTAATGTAGTCACGTACACGCACAAAGACGCGCGATGAGGCAGTGTCAGGTGGCTCCCCCCCCCCCCTTCGAAAAAAAAGTACCACCCCGATGACCAATGCCGATTAAAAGTTAATGTAGTCACGTACATGCACAAAGACGCGCGATGAGGCAGTGTCAGGTGGCTCGGGGGTAGTGTGGCTTCATCTGTGACACATGAACAATGTCGGCCTGCTGGGAACATCGAGATCGCCGAGCTGTGTCTTCAAGCAGAATTTCGTAGTTGACATCTGTGAGGCGCCGTAGTACTTTATAGGGACCGAAGCAGCGGTGAAGTAACTTTTCCGAGTGGCTCCTTTTGCGAACGGGGATTGCCCCTGTGAACAGACGTTGTGGTCGTTCTGTGATCACGTGACAATATACACTGCGCAGAGAAGAGCTGCTGGTTCATCTATTTCGCACCATTAATTCTCGTTCAAGTGCATTTGCCTCAGTAAGTAAGGTGTCGTAAATAGCATGCACGATCATGATCCTCTTTGCGCAGCTACACTGGAGCTGGCGTACGGCAAGCCTATGCTAAATGCCCTCTTACATCACCTAAATGGTGACTTAACTGGCCACCACGATGCCATTATTCACCAGCTTGGTCACGAGAATCCATACTCAACAGGTAAGCAAGTAACCATCATGAACAATAATGATTTACTTTTTTTTCTGGGGATATATAGGTAATCGGCACCCTTACAGAAAAAGGATAATACACGAAAGGAAATACTTCTTGTACACGTGTTAGGAAAACCACTTTTTACGCTTTTAAGGGCTGATTTTTGGCGGGTAGTCAGGCTCACTCGGCGTTCCGCTATGTATATATTTGGTGAAAAATCAGTTACTGTCCGCAACTGATTTACATAGTCGAAATCGAGTGTTAATGTGCGTCTAAATGTGAACTCACATGAATCCTATGTATACAATTGGGATGTTAAAATTTATTCCGGCTGCCACGTTGAAACATGCGCCTGTCTAATGTAACAATGTTCACGGTAGTGACCACAAAGCGGGTAAGCGTAAAGGAAAGTTGTAAAATGAAAATATTGTCAGGCATGTTGTGTATGGCACGATTTACCTGCAGCACTAATGGTCTGTCCCTCAGCTTGTTGTCCACCAAAATTAGTATTGCGTCTAAATTGGTATTGCTTAATACCATAATTGGTGTTATCACGAACATAAGAAACAGGTAGTAACATAAAAATGATTACATGCATGCAACCATTTTCTTGTTACCGTCTGTATCATGCATATATGTTTCTTATACAGTCGCGTCATACAATACCCTTTTTGGTGTATGTCAGGCCGGCAAATCATCCATGAGTGTGCCATGAGCGTGGAATGTAAATCATGTTCTACAGTAAATGCATATCATAATTTACATGTTATAAACTGTCATTCAAATCTGTCATACATCCATCGCAACATATTTAGGTGTATACCAAGCTTGCGAACCAGCCACGAGTTCATCATGAGTGTAGCATTTAAATCATGTCGTAAATGACATGCACGTCATCTAACGTGGCGCACCGGTGCCAGCTAGACCACCTTCGGCCTCAAACTCGGCGTTCCATTGTTCGAGAAAGGTATAGTTAAAGTGTGACTGAAGCACGCTGCAAAAACAACGCAGCAAGGTATCTGCCATGTCTTTGATATGGTCAGGTGTTATCAGCCTGAATTGCTGACAAATATTGCGAGCGATCAATGCCAAAACTGGGAATGAAATCTAATGCTAGCTTGCGGTATACCTACATGTGTAGTAACGAAAATGCGAGGGAGCCTCGCCTCCTAACTGCCAATATAAGTTGTCTTTGAGTACAACTTTGCCACGATAAATACTTACGGAAGCCTTACTCAGTCATTTACTGCGTGGCGAGGGCGTACTGGCTGACGTCGTCTTACGTTGCGGAAGTGGGAGTAGTCACGTCAGCAGGCTGTGCCTACCCCTCTTGGTTGCCGAGAAAGGTGTAAAGCTGGAGCTTGAAACCAAAACCCGCTTGAGCTAGTTGTTCAATAACGGGTAACTTCCTCATTTCAAGATCTCTTCTCAGTGTCCTTTGAGCAGCATGTTAACAATGTACAAGTACGCAGTTATCGCTGCATCTCACATTTTTGACTGAGGGTTGCGTACTGGCTCTTTCAGACAGTCATCGACATCATGACGAAGATCTTGATGTATTACTGCTGACATGTATATATCTGGGAACTGAAAATTACAAAACTTACAGTGAAATCTCACAAACTAACTGGGTAGATGATGTATATTGTCAATTACTGAATGGGATGTTAGTGACCTTCCTTGCCCTAACGCCCTTATTCGCAGGCGTTTTCCATGCGGTTGTTGCAGTTTCGGCGCATGACCATACGGTGCATCATCAAAAAGTTCACTACGAAGGTAAGAAGGCACATATGATGAATATCTTCCAGCAGGTATCATCACCATCATCATCATCGTCATCCCATGATGCGCCAATCAACCAGGTCGTCTGGTTCTGCTAACACGTCATACCTGCGAACTTTTTCATATCATCGGCCCACCTAACTTTCTGTGTCCTCTTTGTGCGTTTGTCTTCTGTGGGAATCCGGTCAGTTACCATAACTGACCAGTGGTGGTTATTCAGCCGACGTGCTACGTTCCCGGCCCATATTCATTTAATAAAGACGATAGTCTTTCTTGGGGACCATCGACGAAAAACTTTTGGTCTGTCTGTCTGTCTGTCTGTCTGTCTGTCTGTCTGTCTGTCTGTCTGTCTGTCTGTCTGTTTGTCCGCTCTGACGATACCTTATACGGCATTAAATGTCCAACCCCATCCGAAGCGCCCACCAATATTGCTCAAGGTTTAGCGTTCATAGTTGTGCGATTCTGAAATAAAAAGCAAATCTTGCGCATATCTGAGGCACCATAACAACACGTCTATGTTTTGTATGTCTGCCTTTATACTAGACGAGGCACACACAAGTAACTCTTAGGGCTTTAGCGTTTAACGCGCTGTGCTGACAGCGCAACGCGATGCTCAAGAAGGTGTTTCCAATGCTTTGCTGCGATGACACGGTGGTGGCTCGTGCCCGTCGCTTTGCATTCTAAAACGTATCATCTCCGTGACTGACGCGCGTCTTTCTCCGCAGTCGCACACGCCTTTGTTTTCGAAAATAACTGTAAGATGGTGCTCGTGCCTAATGTGCCTAGATGCGCTTGTTCGCCTCCGCTACACGCTTGAGGCACTCTAACGCAGCGCCTTCAGAATACCATTCACTGATTTTCTTGCGCAGAACATCAAATAATCGTTTTGATCACTCTCTCCAGACGCAAGACTATCGTCATTCGACGACATTTACAGTGTAGCATGTAGATTCGGGCCAATTTTTTTTCTTGCTTTAAACTACAATATCCTTAACCCCGGTTAGTTACCTGACTCACTCTGCGCTCTTCTTGTCTCGTAAGGTTACCCTGTTATTTTTCTTTCTTTCGCTCGCTGCGTCGTCCTCAATTTGAGCTGGACCCTCTTTGCAAGCCTCCAAGTTTCTGCTTCGTAGAAAAGTATCAGCAAGATGCAACTGTTATATACCTTCCTCTTGAGGAATTGTGCCAATGTACGAGTCATGATTTGAAAGTGCTTCCCAAACGTGCTCCACCCCATTCCTATTCTTGTAGTTACTACAATCTCGTGGTTCGGCTCCGCGGTTATTATTTGCCCTAAGTAGACATAGTTCTTGAAAACTTCTAGCATCTCTCTACCTATAGAAATGTGCAGTTTTCTGCCGAGACCGTTGCTCATTACTTTAGTTTTGTGCCTATTAATTTTTACACCTAGTCTACTGGTTTCCGCATCGAGTTCAGTGATCATTAGCTGTAATTAGTCCCCTGAGTTTTACATCGAGGCAATGTCATCAGTGAAGCCCGGGTTACTAAGATACTCTCCATTAACTCGTATCCCTAACACTTCCTGATCTAGGACCCTGACAACCTTCTGTAAACGCGCGGTGAATAGCATTGAAGAAATCGCGTCTCTCTGTTTTACGCCGTTCTTCATCGGGATTTTGTCGATTCATTTATGGAGAACTATAATGGCTGTGGATACCCTGTAGGTTTCTTCCAGTATACTTATGTAGGTTTCGTTGATGCCCTGATTTCGCAGTGACTGCATCGCTGCTGATGTCTCGACTGATTCAAACGCCTTCTAGTAATCTATGAAAGCAATGTATAGGAGTTGGTTGTATTCCTCGCATTTCTCCTTCACCTGATTGATAGTAGGAGTATGGTCTCTTGTGGAATATAGCCCGTGCGAAATCCTGCTAGGTATATTAGGTTGATTGAACTCTAATATCACCTTATTGTTATTAGCCATCATTTTTGTACATAACTCGTAGATAACGAACTGTAAGCTGATCGACCTGTAATTTTCAAGTCCTTGACGTCTCTTTTCTTATGGATTAAAATGATGTTGTCGGTCTTCCAAGATTCTGGTATCGTTCCCTTCGAGAGCGACTTCGTATATAAGGTGGCCAGGTTTTCAAACACAATTTCTTCACCACGTTTCAGCAGGTTGGTTGTTACCTTATCTTCACCAGCGGCTTTGCCTCTTCGCATTCCTTCTAGGGCTTTCCTTAATTCCCCGGTCGTTACTGATAGCATGTCAAAATTTTATGGGTTGTTTTTGTTTCTTACGTTATCATTCCGGTTGTTTCGGCTCCTGTACAGCTCTCTGTAGAACTCCTTTGCCACCTCAACTATCCAATTTTCATTGGTTATGAGTGAGATGGCCTTCCTTGTCCCTTAATGCATACATCCTATTTTCACCTATGCACAAGGTCGCCATCGCAGCTTTAAGGCAGCTTCCGCTTTTTACAGCCTGACAAAATCTCTCCATTCTTACATTCAATTTTTACCTATGCGCAAGTTTGCCTTCGCAGCTTTTAGGCTGCTGCAGGTTTTTACAGCCTCCTCGAATCTCTCCATGTTATTGGCCTCCATGAAACGGCCAGGTTTCGAACTTCTGATGTCGGCTACCTTGTGCCTAGTGATTAACTTCATTTTGTACAACATCTTAGTCTCATCTTGTACTCCATCTCTAACTTCACCTCATAACCACCTTCATGTTGTACCTTTTGTTGACCTTAATAACAATACTTGCCACACTGTCACTCATGCTACAGTATTCATCTATGTTCCCAGCGATATCCCCTAGTTTTCTTTTCTGTCAACTAATCAACGGTAGGATAAAACGTGTCCATTTTTCAGCACTCTATAGGCACTCAATGAGCCTATAAGCCAAAACTTCTATTTTTATTTTAATGCGATTTTCGTGTTTTTATTTTAATGTTGCCTGTTGACCGTTTTGTTGAAGCCCATGTACTGAATTTTTTCTGAGTGTGCATAATATCAAAACTTCTGCACTGTCACGAACTGTGAATGGACAGGGGCACTTGTCAGGCATGTTTGCCCTTAGCCACTGCCCTGCGTGCAGCTCTGCGTTGCTGTTGCTGCAAATAAAGTAATTTTACTATTTACTTTGGAAAGAGACGTGTTTCTTCTACTTGTAAATCGCTATGGCCCCTTGAGTCGCCGTAATGTAGCCCACTAGCATTCACGAAAACGCTTGTCATGATTGCTGCTACTGTATCGGAACATTCCATTTTCTAGTTAGTGTTTATTGCCTTCCAAATTTTGGAAGCACCGCGATTGTGCGGAGACAATTTTATTTCTACAAGAACTCTTTGCAAGATCTAAAACAACGTAAAAAATGTAAAACGACTGTACATACATCACCACTCACCTGTCCCAATTAGGCGCTGTCCATAAGTGAGAAAAAAATAAGAATTTGTTACTTACACACCCCTTGATACGCTAGTTCTATGCCATTCATCTTTAAACGAACAGTACGATGTACAAAAAAAAACAAAGTGTATTTTAGCACAGTTGTTTTGAGAAGAAACATCATTTAATTTGATGAACTCAGATTTCTCTTACACTCACATCAATGCGTATAATGCATTTTAAGTTCAGTTCTTATTATACTTATGAACAACGTTTCTCGGTAATGAAGCGAAGGCAACAGAGTCAGAGCGCTGGTATCATACCGCTAATACATGTAGCCTCACGATTTCTGACGTGGAATATCAAAATACACCTTTTTTTTTTTTCATGGCACTTTGAGAAAGCACACAGTTTACGTCAGTCAGGTATTTGAATTTGTAATAATTTATACGTCGTCACTGAGTTTTTGCATGCGTGAGAAAGTAACGCCGTTTACGACAACCTCGAACGTTTGCCCTTAGCGCCGACACTTTCCACAGCAGTGATAAGCACGTGCCATACTAGACTTTTTTCACGAGAAAGTACATTGGCACCAGCTCCCACCTAAGAACATTCCCTTCGTTGCCTAAAAAAAGTGTGCGCGAGTATATTATTGTTACTCGTGTTTACCGTAAAATGTTTGTTGTAACCCTTATCATAATGCTTACAGCCGGTGCCTATGGCTGCCCCTTGCTTGGCGTAGTCTGCAAGCATCACTGCGAGTCAATTGGGCATGGTAGCGGCTACTGTGGTGGACCTCATTTAGGAAGATGCATTTGTCCAATTTGGTAACACTGAAGAAGAATATACCAGTAATAAATCAAACATGCCATAGAAATTTCTCTGTTGTGTGTTCTAAGCAGAAAATGTTTATAATTTTATTTTGTCTCAGTGATTCTAGGAACTTATAGGAAGAACTGTTGGAATTCTACACCTAATTTATGCTAGTCGACACCAGCACGAATCTGTTTGCTCCAAAATTAATCAATTTTTCTTTATTATACCGGAACCAGCCACATACGTCCAAATCTAAATTGATACGAAAACATAAAGGGCTGTATTTAATATATTGCGCTTTAATGAATACACAAAATGTATGTTCATCTACTTCAAGTGGTCAATAGCGAATAGATACTGACATGTGCTGTGTTTATCTCTGCCTGCAGTGTGACCGTTGCGTATTTTACCATATATAAGATTTTTATTTTCTATTACTTGGTCTGAAATGCACCTGTAAGTACTGGATGAATAGCGAGATTATTTCTGTGTTTCAGAGAGGGACAAACCCGGTTGTATCCATGCTGAATGTACAAAACAACAAATCTTGTACATTTCATAGTGTATGCGAGTGTGACCGATTACGCTAGTGAGCACGTGAAATTAGACGGGTCTAGGAAACCAATGCGTCTCACCTGTACCCAAAAGTTTGCGGTAAACGAATGACTTTGCCGCTATTGTTCGCTTTTCGTGCTAGTTCTTCACTGCGCTCTCTCTTGTAACCTAAAGTGGCAACGTAAAAGTAGCATATCCCTTTCCTTATTATGGTACATATGCCAATCATGATTACTGAACGCTAGTATACTGCAACCGCTACTATGACTGTTGAGGATTCATGTCCCAAAACCACGATATAGTTATGATGGATGGCGTAGTTGAAGCCCCCGAAAATTTTGGTCATCTCCCGTATGTAAATGTACCCCTAGCGTTTTGCACTCCTCCATCGGAAATGCTGTGGCCATGGCTGGTAGTCGATAATTCCATGTTCGGGTCAGCAGTCGAGCGAGCAGGCAAAAAAAATTTAGTTTGGTTTACCGGTGCTATAATATACAACGCCTAAAGAAAACAACCGAAAAATAACTATTCTTGTTTTTCCAAGGTTTCTTTATATGGTTACGTTTCTGGCGTAAAAAAATACGTTCCTTTAACTTCTCTATCTCCCCCGAAGCTGCCCCGCGAAATATTCTGTTACGAACTTGCTTATTATTTTGACAGTGGCTCTGTTATGTTAGAGTAAAAAAAACATCGCGTTTTTGCGCGTGTTGCATTACAAAAAAAAGTGTTTTGTAGGTTCCCTTTATTTAACCGTTATCGCCAGCCTTGGCTATGAGGTGGCCAGGTTCTCTTCTAGTTGCGACTCGTGGCTTCCAATAATTAGTTTGTTCTCGGTCGAGGCTTTCAATTTCGCGGGTGATGTTAGATTGTAGATCGTCATGGAATTTACTCGGAAATTGTGGGTAAATTCCACTACGCATACGTGTCCCTCCTTCGGCGGCGTCGCAGCGGGCCTCATGCTCTTAAGCTGTGGCTCAGTCCGTCCTCCGTTGTCGTAGCCACCCCGTCTGTCTGTCTGTCCGTGTCCGTTGTTGTAGACAGACAGACAGACAGACAGACAGACAGACAGACAGACAGACAGACAGACAGACAGACAGACAGACAGACAGACAGACAGACAGACAGATAGATAGATAGATAGATAGATAGATAGATAGATAGATAGATAGATAGATAGATAGATAGATAGATAGATAGATAGATAGATAGATAGATAGATAGATAGATAGATAGATAGATAGATAGATAGATAGATAGATAGATAGATAGATAGATAGATAGATAGATAGATAGATAGATAGATAGATAGATAGATAGATAGATAGATAGATAGATAGATAGATAGATAGATAGATAGATAGATAGATAGATAGATAGATAGATAGATAGATAGATAGATAGATAGATAGATAGATAGATAGATAGATAGATAGATAGATAGATAGATAGATAGATAGATAGATAGATAGATAGATAGATAGATAGATAGAAAGACGGATGTACGGACGGATGGACGGCTGGAACATTCACAGTTTACCGACGAAATACTTTGAAACTTCGCCCCACTCGATCTTCCTCATTCACTCCGAAAATGTGTTTTTTTTTTTGGCAGGCCCTTTTTGGTAAAGCGCGTCACTTGACTCCTGCCAAAGCCGCCGCCGGTCGGCGACGGTGAAGCCGTGCCCCAGCTCTATGGCTTTCACTGCGAGGTGGGGATGCTCCTCCATAGAGGCGAGCACAATCACGCACTGAGCCTCGGAAATGCGAAGGAGGCGCTCTTTTTGGCTATTGGTTGAGGTGCCCTCCGCCATGGTTTCGCTCGACTGAGCCAACGGCTTCAAAAGTTGCCCCGTTTGAGTTGAAATAGTAGTGGAGGCATTAGTAGAGCGATTGCGTGAAACGGGGTTGTATTTAAAGCCACCACTAACGTCCAGCTGAATGGCGGCCCCGGCTAGCGTCATTTCGAAATAATAACGGGGAAAATATGTTTCAATTGCACCGAATTCCCTATTCAATGTCTAAAAATTAGTGCCAACAAATTTTCAGTGAGCAATAATAGTTAAACCATTCTTAACATATTAGAAATACTTCCAAACTTGCTATACAGTCCCCAAACCGACATCAATATAGTGAAGCATGCCTCTATTCCTCTCATTGGTTGTTCGCTTCCCCTCCTTCTCGCGACTGATGAGGATGGCCCAATTTTGACTTAACGAACCAAACGCCTCCGTTGGAATTGCGAATGCGTACAAGATTGCACCAATGACTATTCCATAACTCATCACTACACACACTACTGCCCCTGCCACTCCTTCCACTACTCCCTACTTCCACACTCATCACTACAACCACAACTGTACCGGCCACTCATTCCTCTAATGTTTACTTTCACAACTGATCACTACACTCATAACTGCGCCTGCCACGCCTTCCACTGCTACTATAACTTCCACCACTCATCACTACACCCTCTACTGGCCCTGCCACTCCTTCCACTACTCCCTATTTCCACAACTCATCACTACAACCACAACTGTACCTGCCACTCATTCCTCTAATGTTTACTTTCACAACTGATCACTACACTCATAACTGCGCCTGCCACGCCTTCCACTGCTACTATAACTTCCACCACTCATCACTACACCCACTACTGGCCCTGCCACTCTTTCCACTGATGGTGACTATCTCCATAACTCATCACTACACCCTCTTGAGCGCTTGCTACTCCTTCTACTAATCACTACTTCCACAACTAATCACCCCAACAACCAGTGCCCCTGGCACTCCTTCCACAGCTGACTGCTTTCACGACTCATCACTACACTCATAACTGATCCTGCCACTTCTTCCTTAACTGACTATTTCCACAACTCATCACTAGACCCACACTGCCCCTGCCACTCCTTCCACTACTCACTACTTCCACAACTCATCACTACACCTTCTAGTGCTCCTGCCACTCCTTCCACTACTCACTACTTCCACAACTCATCACTACAACCACAACTGCACTTGCCACTCCTTCCACTACTGATTACTTCCACAACTCATCACTACACCCATTACTGCACTTTCGACGCACGCGTTATTAATGTGACATAGCATTCCCGACAGGAAAGTGGCCAGCGCCACGTTTTCAAGAAAGGAAAGGCGAGCAAGTCCGATGACGATTGATCTTCTGTAGTAGAATTACTACCAGAATACTCCAATTTCGAGTACAGTGCAGTTACATGGTTATACTCCAAAAGTGCTTACAGTACGCAAAGAAATGCGTCGCACTGAAAATTCGTAACCATTTGCATACACTCTTAAAGTAAGGGTGTACTTAGGGAGTAGTTCTATAAAATATGCTATGTCGCAATTATAACGCACGTACCGTTGGTGACTGCGAACAACCAGAACGGTGGTGATAACGCGAGGAAAGTGCGGGGAGCAGACAACAATCATTATTGCGTGGCAGAAATACCACACAAATACTCAATTTTTTCTTAAAATGTATGGGAGGCATAAGGGCACGTGTAACGGGACTTCTGCTTGTCTAGCCAACTATTTTTTTTAATGCGAAGCATTTCTTAGCGGATATCCGCGAGTTTGAGCATATCAATCAATCAATCTACCTATCTATCTATCTATCTATCTATCTATCTAGCCGACTACGACATTTAGCTCTCGTGGCCATTTCGATAATGGTATCGATACCAAACTTGGTATGATATTGCCACCTAAAGTTGTGAACCGGCAAGCCCTAGCGAGCCGAAAAGGGCAAGGAGAACGAAGAAGTGTGGTTAGCGCCTCGTTTTGAAGATACCCACGTTTCTTCTCCGGGCCAGAGGCCTGCCTTCTGGTCAGTCTCTGTTCCCCCTCAAGATCTTCCCCTGGAGTTGTTTCTCCGCAATGGAACCCATAGCGTTCCTGTCGCTTTGGTGCCGACCACCGGTAGGTTCATCCGCATGAAAAATCCCAAGACAATCCAAACTAAACTTCGTGCGATCACTCCCCACTCTCTACTGATAACAGAGGTTCGTCAGTTTGGACGCGGGGGGGTACTATGCTGCTCACCAGACAAGGCTTGCATCCAAGACCTTCTGAAGTGCACTACTTTTGCATCACATCTGGTGAGCTCTTTTATGCCACCTCATCTAGCTTGCTGCAAAGGATTGGTTCGGGAGTAGACGCAAGTCTAAGCCCAGCAAAAGTCTTGGACATCTTTTCCCCAGCAGGTGTTATTTCTGTTTACCGCTGTACCAAACAGGAAAACCAACAGAAAGTTCCCACTGAAACTGTAATTGCCACATTCGCTGGAACAGATCGCCCTTCGGAGATCAAAGCATGGCCGCTTATCTATAAGGTCGAAGCTTTGGCTCCCCGTCCGCTGCAATGTGCTAAATGTTGGCGCTTTGGGCACAGTACTAAAGGTTGTCGATTGGCGACTCGATGCCGCATATGCGGGGCCATATACGGGGCTGGTCATACTACTGCTGAGTGTCAATCACACAATA